CGTTTCTGGTGCGTTTCAACAGATGCATACAAACATAGAGAGAGCGGGGTAAAGACTCTCGTGGCTTTTGTACAGTCGACAGACTGAGCGATGGTTTGCTTTGCTTTGCTTTCGCGTGGACATTGTTGAATGAATGAATGAAGTGTATGGGTACACACACACACACACACACACACACACAAGTACAACACAATCAACAGAGGGCACACACACACAGAGAGAGAGAGGGTCATGTGTCTATTTATAGCGTTTGGCAGACGTACAGACAGACAGACAGGCTTACAGACAGACAGGTCGGTCGATCGATCAACACAACACAACACCAGCGCCAGCCAGGGGGACAATGGGTCGTCTGTGCATGCGCGCCATCCTTCCACCCACTCACCTCACCCACTCCTCCCTCCCTCCCTCCCTCCATCCATCCATCCATCCACTCATCCGTCCATCAACCACCCCTCCACACAGGCACGCCCACACGAATTGACTTATGGTCCTTAGCTGTCCTTCCTCCCTCCCTCCCTCCCTCTCTGTCTCCCTAGCGCGTCCATCACGTCTTTCCCTCTATCCCCCAGCTGTCGCTTGCTTCGGCCAGCACTCACTCACTCATGGCGGCTGTGCTGCCGCTGCCGCTGCGGCAGCAACAGGAACAGGTGGGGCAGCTGCAGCAGCTGCAGCTGCTGCGGGGCCGGTACCGAGAGACGGCAGTGGAGGGACGGTTGGGCCGACAGGCAGCGCTGCCTGTGCAGGAGTCGTTTTGTACACGCGGATGATGAGGCCCGACACGTTGCGGCCAGTGAATTCCAGGCTGATCTGCACCCAGCGACATACACACCCTCACCCACCCATTGATTGAGATTGCCTGTCTGTCCTTGATTGGTTGACCTCGTCATCGTCAGCGATGAGTTTGTCGTCGACGACGCTGACGGTGGTCGTGTTGACGCTCATGCGCAGTCCGCCCTTCCAGTTCGTGAGGAGGTCCTGAGCCAGCCACACCGCGCCCTTCATCGCAGCCCCCAAACCACGCAACACGATCTCCCCGTGCCTCCAGGCACACAAACAACACAACACACAGCACACAACAGCAACAGCCGCATCGCATCCATGCTAGCTGCACTGCAGTGAGTGCAGTGCACTGGTCTAACTTCCCTTCACTTGACTTACTTGCCGCTGCGAAGCAGGTCGTCGGCTCGCCTGTAGAAGACGATGAGTGGCTGCTTTCTCGTGACGAATATCTCATTCTCCTTAGCGGGCAGCCGGGGTGCGGCGCGCTTCCGACGCTGCGACAGCTTGGGCGAGCCAGACGTGCCGTTCTGTTCGCCGGCGATGAGTGACTTGTCTGGTGACTGAGGTGCCATGCCTGACAAAGGGGAGGGCGGGGTCTTCTCCCAGCGTGCCGATGCCATCACGGACGATGGGGAGGTAGATGGGATAGATGAGCACAGCGTCAGTCACGATGGATGGGCAGCCAGCCAGTGAGGTTCACATGGCTCAGCTGATAGATGATCTGATAGACGCTGTCGATCAGTGGGAGACGCGCACTGCAAAAGGGGACTGCAGCGAGAGGCGATTACACACGATGAGCCCCGCAAACACAACCGGGAGGCGCTGGCTTTTGCGTGCGTCCTTTCAGCCAGGCTCGCAAAAAAGCTCGCAGTGAGAAGTCCCAGAAAAAGGATGACGGTGTGAGCAGCAGGTGCATCAGATGGCAGATCTACGTGTGCGGAAGAGATATACAAGCGAGAGATCTGATGAGCACTCGCCAGGTGTATGTCGCCGACCGACACATAGGCCCCTCCTGACCAACGCTTGATCCAACGCACTCACCCATCCACCCCTCCACCTACCAGCCAGCTATGCAGCACATTCCATCTGACGTCGCCAAGATGGCCATGGGTGCGGGCGTGGCTGCCCTGATCTACAGCATGACGCGCGAGAAGTCCACCCGGCTGACCTCGGACCACATCGCCATCGTGCGCCAGTTCGATGTGTCCAAGCGCGAGGACGAGTCGCTTTATGCGACGCTGGGGACGCGGCTGCTGCTGTGGAACCTCTTCAACATGGGGCAAAAGGGATTCTACTCGTCAAGGGTGTACAGGAGCGGGGGGGGGAAGGAGGAGGGAGATCTGAAGGTCCTGCTCGTTGACAGGTGAGGGGCAGACAGACAGACAGACACCGGGATGGATGGATGGATGGATGGATGGATGGCATGTGTTGTGGTGTGGTGTGTCAGGTGGGACAGTGTTGAGAGCTATCATGCTGCGCAGTCTTCTCTCGACGCCATCGTGAGGAGCCAGCCAACCATCACGCCCGCCTCCCCGCCTCTCTCACTCGCCCCCCCTCTGGACGCCAACACGTCCTTCGACAATGTGCTCTCCATCCCGCCACCCTCGCCCATCCCCGCACCCCCAAAGCAGCAGCAGCAGCAGAAGGAGAGCCCCATCAGCTTCTCCCGTCTGCCATCTGATGCCCGTGACATGTTGCTGGAGATGGTGACTCACCCGTACTCAATGCTCTTCCACCAGAGAACGGAGCGGCAGCCGATGTGGCGGCTGCTCAGATTTGCGCTCTTCCCAACGATACGTTGATTGATGCCTGTGCAGACAGACAGACAGACAGACACGCATACCAGAATAGACTAGAAGCTTGCTTGTGTGTGCGTGTGGGGCGTTTCTGTATTTCTGTGTGTGCATTTGTGTGTGGACGGGCGTGTTGATGCTGTCAATGTTGCTGTGGTCTTATGGTTGATTTGTTTTATTTGGACAGGTGTGTGCGTTCGTGTAATATCTCATCAACGTTCGCATCATCGATTCACCGCATGATATTGCGTCGCTCAAACCGCCATGTAAGAGTACCATAGAATCCATCCATGCCCCCCCCCCCCCCCCCCCCCCCCC